TGAAGGCATTGGTCATTTTCCACCTCTTCTGCTTTAAAAAAGACCTAACGACTCTATAGTGGCGCTCGAACTAAAACGTAGTGGATGGTGATTCTTCACCACCAGGAGTTGACGATTGGATACCCTAATCCCCAGTCGCATTTAAAAGGGGGAGTATTTAAGGAATTTTCTCCCCCCTGTCTGCTGGCCTTCGTTGTGTAACGGCAGCACACTCGAGATGTCCAGGTTCGAGTCTCGGCGAAGGTATTGTTCATTTTTCACTTCTTCAGCATAAAAAAAAACCCTAATGACTCTACAAAGTAATGATCCCTATACTTCTAATTATACCTACTATACCTAATAAGTTGGACTGTCGGTTGGTAGAGTTGGTACAAATTATGGTTTACTCTTTTGTTGTGATGGTTAATTGCTACGAATGACTATGTCTTAGCTTATGAAAGCTTTAGCTACTAATTGTTTTACCGATTCGGATATTTATTATTGCGAATTGGCCAATTTGAACTCAAAATATCATTTCTATAAAGACCTACTGGATTTTCTGGAAAAGTATTGGCTGTCGTTTATTGTCTTCCATAGGCTTCGATTGAGGAGAGGGTAAAATTGGGTATAGATGCAATATTTAGGAAAGTAAAATTTACGAATAACGGGAGACAATCGTTAGGTTTTTTTTTGGGGGGAAGTAGGGGATATGAAAAATGAGCAATGTCCTCGCCGGGACACGAACCTGGACCTCTTGAATATGCACCGAGTGCGCTGCCGTTAGCGTAATGGCAAACTGCACATTCAGTTGACCAATGTTAAATGAATTTCGCGTACTGCGCATGCCCAGAAGAGAATTTGGCACAATTACGACTGAAAAGAAGTAAATACGGTGTGTGGTTGATATTCTGTTATCTGGGCATAAACGAGATTTTGAAACGTATTATGTTGTAATTTGCGTCATTATTTAGAGTGTAAATACATTGTAAATTACGCAAAATTTTCGTTTAAGAACGATTACAGAACAGGGAACATTACAAGATATATCAGCTTAATCTTTATTGATTATACTTCTGAGGAATAGAAGCAATTGCCTATTTACCATACGTTCCATTCGTATATACTTTAACAAATTAAAGAATAAATTCAGTTTAAATTACTGAATTAAAGTCAAGGAAATTATTATAAATAACCGATATTAAACATAACGTTTATGAAGAAAACAAACCAAAATGAAATGAAACAGAAGCAAATACATTAAGCACAAACAAATTTCGGTAGTATTGGAATTGTAAACAGTCGATAAAACCTGCGACGTGCAGGCTTGTGTAGGGTTGCTTATACTCCCCTTAGTCGCCAGTATTTCCTCCTATGCCAACGGTAAACCACTGAGCATGCGCAGGATGAGAAATTCGTTAACATTGATCAACTCAATGTGCAGTTTGCCATTACGCCTACCGTTACGCCAGGAAGACATGCACAAAGAAGGAAGAAGATATTTTAAAGGGCGACTGGGGATTAGGGGACCCAGTCGCCAAAGCCTGGTGGTGAAGAATGATCATCCACCACCTTTCAGTTCGGGCTCCACTGTAGAGTCGTTAGGTTATTTTGATGCTAAAGATGTGAAAAATGAGCAGTGCCCTCACTGGGACTCGAACTTGGACCTTTCGAATGCTCACCGAATGTGCTTCAGTTACAGAGGCTGTTCGCCCATTTTTTAGACGATTTTGGTAAGCGATAATAAAAGATCGTTTGCTGCAAAGAAGTAATTGCAATTATACTATGTTTTTAAAAGTCAAAATTATCGTCTGTGGCTTGAAAATTTTGTTTTTATCAAAATGGCGAATTTAACAGAGCAGTGGTTCGAAGGCTACATTTACGCTCTTTCCGAAGAGAAATATGCATACTCCGTTATCCAAAAACGAAGTGAGAGTCATGTTTTTGTGATATCTAAAGCGTCGATAGGTATTATCATCAACAAGAAAGGAAAAAAGCGTCAAATTGGAGCCTCAAAGTGGGACAAAAATTCCAAACAAATATCCAAGGAAAAAGCGGACACCTTCGACTATCACAAATGTACTTTGTTTAATGTTAAACGAAAATCCCCTAGTTAAAGGACAGTTGCAAAATCATTAAAATACTCGGTGTCCACTGTAAACAAAATGATAACCGTTGATTTAAATCTTAAGAAAGCGAAAAAACGCAATGTGCATCGTCTTCTTCCAAAGCATATCGCTCAACGCAGGACACGCTGCAGAATTCTATACGAGAAACACTTATCCAAAGAAAAATGGAAAACAATTGTCACAATAGATGAAGCATGGGTGTATTTAAATGATTGTAGCAAAAAAGAGCCATTTATTATCAAAAAAGAGGAGAAAAAAAATTGATTACATGGTTCAAAATATCGAAAGAAAGTTTTTCTAAGGGATTTATGATTGTTGCTGGTTTTTCGTATAATGGCAAGTTAAAAATAAACAGAGTGAAAACAAAATGTCAAGATTAACTCCAAATACTATCAGGAACATATTTTATCGCCAGTTTTTCTTAATGAAATACCATGGCTTTACCTACAGTGCCATCCATCTATGAGACTCCATCAGGACAAAGCTAGCAGTCACACGTCAAAATCCACTGTAAATTTCCTAAAAGAAATGGAACAAAAAAACTGGTATCAAGGCCATACCCTTCACTGATATCCCTACTAAATCTCCCGATGTGTCACCTATGGATGTTTGTGCTTTCGGACTTTTAAAAACTGCATTATCCAAACGTTGTCCCAAAAGCCTAACAGGTCTCTGGAAAGCTGTTCGGGAGGAATAGGATAGAATGCCTCTTCTGCCACTTCAAAAGGCATTATTATCCTGGAAACTGCGATGTCGAAAGATAGTTCAGCATAAGGTATTAAGAACATTTAAAACACAAGAATTTTATGTAATTTAGTTTTGTGTATACAATATACATCGTCTAGAAAATGTGTGAACAGCCTCTGTACACCTCGTATGCACACAGAATGGAAGGAGAAAATGCCTTATAAACTTTTATTTAAATATGGAAAGGAGATGAATTTAGATCGAGGTTTTTAGAAAATGCTGCAGTTCTTTTTAGCAGAATCCAACTCGGAATGCTTGGTCATTCATGTCATTCATGTACTCATTATTCCACCACTTGAGCATATGGGAGGAATACCTTTAATTCTACACAGCACAATGATAAACGTTGCATCACGTTAATCATTGTTGCACATAGATTTAACTCTAGACAGGTAATGCAAGTCGGTTCGAATAGAATTCTTTTTTTCCCTTTTGTAGTAATACAAGAAATCACACAATGAGTAATATTGTGAAAAAACTTCATACTAATTATGTAGAGATATAAATGAGATTTCTTGCGCTACTTGCTAGAATGACTGTTTCGGTTCGGTGCCTAAATTATCCAAAGTCCGTCACGCTTCGCTGATTAGATTTGCATAGGATGGGAAAAAATGTCCGGAACTGGGTTAAAATTCCATAATAGGGGTGAGCGCCAAGCTTGGCGAGAGTTTTTCATTTGGCGCGATTTTAATTTGGTTGTGGTTTCCGGCTGTATGTTTTCTTGTGGCAAACCTAGAGCTTTATTTCGGTAACTGTAAGAGCGCGAATTTAGTGTAGCCAGATTTTATTTTTAAATTTAATTTGGAATACTGTGTTTTTAAAAGTTTTACTGTTTAATATTATTGTTATATATATGTTTAATATTATATTTATATAAATATTTGCAGAAGGTTAAGCTTTTGTTGGTGGTGAGAACGTTGACATGAAGTTTATAATTTATGAATGTTTTCATTTAATTTTATTTAGTTAATTTTTTAGTCCAAAGGGATTTCAGTCCCGAAGGACTATTGCTTTCGTTTTGGCATTTTGCGTCGGACTCATAAACGTCGGTTCACTTTTCAAACTGTTGCCACAAAATGTTAGAGTCCTGCATTATATTTGAAGAAATTAAATAATGAAAAATCTGCATAAATGATTGTCTATTTCTCGCATTGTGATAAAAACAATGGTACATAGAGCCATCGAATTTGAATGAATGACGTAATCCTCCTGCGAATATGGGCATGTGGAAATCCCAAATTTGGAATTTTGTTTTATTGATCGATTTTATATTTTTGTAAAACTTTGACGAATTTTTGATTTACAAACTCAAGGATTTCAAAGCGAGCAATGGCAACGTTATGCAGAAAAAAAATACTTTTATCTCCAGCTCGCGAGACTCTGTATATCGGAAATTCTAAAGATATGCTTAATTTAAACATTATTTTGCGATATTGCTCTTGAACTGAATCTTATGGTTTAAATGCAAAGAACATGATATTTAATAAATAAAGGTAACACTCAAAACGTTAAAAAAACGCCCCTTTGGACGTAATTTAAAATCTGAAAAATTTCAGATTTTTTTTTTTTTTTTTTTTAGTTTTGTTTCTTTCATGTGGCAATCGAAAATGTGGAATATTTAAAGCTTTGAACGAAAGTTGTTTACTGTGTTGAATTCCATGACGATAGTAACTTGAATATTTTAGTTAGTTTGTGATGCTGAATACGCATAATTTGCTATTCTGTTTACGTTTAAAACTGACTTCGCAGTGCTCTGATCTGATAAGTGTATGCATTTATTTACTCAATAATTATTTACAAGAATTGTTGATTCTACTATTTTATGATGAATTACACATATATAGGACTATGTTTTTACTTGCAAAGCTGTTGAAGTTTGTTTTACTCATCTAGTATTTTATCATTTTACTATGCTGGTTACATAAAATGACGGCGTTTCACTACTGCAAAACTTAAAAGTTACTATTCTGTTTACGTTTAAAAATTACATTTAGTGCTTTAATTTAGTGCGCCTAAAAAATTCGCCAAATTTTTAAGGCCAAAATAGTTTGGCGCCAACTTACCCCGCTTATGGAATTTTAGCCCCGAACTGCGTAAACACATCGTGGAAAACACGAACATGTGGATAGTAAAAAAATTCGCACTTACTGTATCTAAAAATTGTACGTATTTCAGTATGTAGATCACCCAACAGCAGGATGTAATCTGAAATATGAATGTTTGAAAATTTTCAATTATTTTATGATTTTATGATGAAAAACATTAACTAAGGTAGACAAATTTAATAAAATAAAAAAATTAGTAAAAATTAAAGATAAATGTAATGTAAATAAATAAATAAATAAATACCTTTTTGACACTGAGATATTTGTTAATTTAATGTAATAATTTCTTCAATAATAAAAGAACAGTATAGTTAAGAACGATTGGGTCATTGTTTTTATGTATTTGGAGTACGTATATATTATGAGATATATTTTATGTGTTATTAGTCCAAAAGGGCTTTGTCCCTGAAGGACTAATGTTTTCGTTTTGCGATTTTGCGTTGGTTCACTATAAATGTCCGTTTCACTTTTCAAACTGTTGCCACCCAATGTTAGAGTCCTGCAGTGTATTTGAAGATTAAATAATGAAAAATCTGCATAAATGTATGTATATTCCTCGCATTGTGGTAAAACAACGGTACCTAGAGCCATCGAATTTTGAATGACGTGATCCTGCTGCGAATATGGGCATGTGGAAGCCCAAATTTGAAATTTGTTTTATTATCGATTTAATATTTTGTAAAACTTTTACGAATTTTTGGATACGCTCAATTTAAAACTATTTTGCGATATTGCTCTTGAAATGAATTTTATTGTTAAGGGCGAAGAACATGGTATTTAATAAATAAAGATTAAATACCACGCCCCACAAGACGTTAAAAAAACGCCCCTTTGGAAGTAATTTAAAATCTGGAACCTTTCAGATTTTTTTAATGTTTTTTAATATTTATAGATAGATTTAATAGATAGATAGATTTAATATTTAATATTGCAGTGAAAAAATAATTAAAAAATGAATAACTTTTAAATATACTCGGGAACTGGTTACTTTAATCACCATGCCAGGTCACCTCGTCAAGCATTTCACAACTTAAAAAAATATTTATTTTCTTAATTTTTTTAACAGACTTCTCTTTGGGTTGCGTTAAACCAAAAATGCTAAATCAGGAGTTACAGCGTAATTGTTGGCGCTTAATTAATCATTATTTACAAGCTTAATCCATATTACGTTCAAATGCATAAGCTACAAATTATATGATATACTCACATATTATCAAGTTATTTAGAATTACATTTCCATTATTGTTAATAATACAAATTTATAATTTCTAACGTATCTTACTTTGTATGTTAAATCTCCTTTTGTTACCGAACCTCCTTTGCAAAACACTTCAGGACTAATATACGGCAAATTTGTAAAGATCTGAAAATTAAAAATATTTCAATAACAAATGCATTATGTACGTTTTAGAAAGATGAGAGCACAGATTTAATATTTAATATTGTAGTGAAAAAAATAATAAAAAATGAATAACCTTTAAATATATTCGGGAACGTGTCACTTTAATACGCTTACAAGGTTTAAGGAGGACGAAGATTACGAAAGATAAAATAATTTCAGTGGTAACATTTATATGATCTGGGAATTACAGTAAAGACCTATAAATATTCAACGAATTCATTGAAGCAAACCCAAATGACTGCTTTACAAAAGGCAACGTAGATGTTATGAGATATTTTTATCTTGATAACTATTTTAGATCTTTTTCTTCCCCTAAAGTCTTCTTTTCTCCTAGTTAATTATGCATGCAATAGAAATTTGCTATTGAAGGAATAAAGAAAGAACAACAATATTGACGTTACTCTTCTTCGAAAGAATTATTACGAAAGAATAGTAAGCCAAAACATACTCTGCTGCAAAATAGTATATGCACCCAGAAAGAACTGAGCCACATTTACGAAACTCGGCATTAGTATAGTGTTAGAGTATATAAATGAATGATAAAAAAAGTGGGGCAAAAAAAAAAAAAAAAAAAAGTTTTATTTACGACCGCGTCCAGTTGACCGCGTCCAAATGCAGGTAAAATAATGCCAACACGCTTAAGCGTTTGGTCCTGAGACTTACGGATGCTCATAGCAAAGGCAAATTTTACAGGAAATTGTCTACGTCTCAATTGAAACGACAACCCTGTGCGGTGGCAACTTCACCCCATTGGCTAGTACAGTTACGCAAGCAACCAATAAACTATCAGCGACAAACAGACACTTAAGCCGCATATATATGGGGTGAAGTAACATCATCTCCTCCAAAACGGCTGGCTCCCGGGCTTAGCGAAGCACACCGTTGGATTCCGCAGGTCCGTGAAACACCATTTTGACCATTCGTGTCTTCTTGGGACTTTAATTAGCCAGGATATTAATTAAAAAACTAATTTTCCCCTACGTCTTCCCTACATTTTCCACTTTCTTTCTTGGGTTTTCCCTATTACAGGGATTTAGCTACGTGCCAAATTCTTTTTTCTCGAATATCTACGGAACGACGCCGAGTTGAAATTCGAAATGCGTATCCTCAGATACCAAAAAATTCTCCGAATCCATCGATACCGTTCTCATCTTCGTACAACTTTAATCGGCCGAGATATTAATTAAAAACTGCGGAAACGTTAATTTTCGGCGCTCATTTTTCCGATTGGCAACAATAAACTATCGGCGACACACACTTTAACCGCTTATATATATAAAGATATGAACTGCCTATTGGCAGAGATTCAGAAAGTTGTTAAACAGAGAAGTTGAACACTGCATATTAAAAGATCTTCCTAGTTAGGTAAAAAAACAATAACTTGGTTTAGATCTGCGATTTTCAACCGGTGGTACGCAAACGAAAAATAGGTGGTACGTAACGAAAAAAAGTAATTTTAGTCAATTAAAGTCACAATTCCCCTGAAGAAAAAGAATAATTGATAGCAATTTATTGTGATCGAACGATAACTGAAGATTTGAAAAACAAAAGTACGCCTGTTAACTTTTGGCTGAACCGAAAAAAAGGAATTAAGTTTGTAGACACATTAGTTATGTTCTGGAAGCAGCCAAGATGAAAAACAAGCAATCGCCTTCGCCCGGTCAAAAGATTGTACGCGTTGGTCAAAAAATTAAAATCCCCTGGTTTAGATGACAAGTGTGGCCTAGACAGAAAAAGCCATATTTTAAAACATGACGTAACAAATGTTGTTCCCATTTTTCATCGCAAGAAATTACTGTCGCGCTCAAAGAGCTGTGTATTTATGTTGTGTGACAGTTGTAGCGCCTTTGCGTTGTTGCTGTGTTAATGTGATGTATCTTGCTGGTGCTTTTCTTTAAAATATAAAATGACAATATAGTAGTATAAGGGAGTCGTTTTGGATAGGGTCATAGAAGAGTCCTTTATAGTATAACAATTATTTATTACCATGTTTAAATTACACACGGACATAACATTTAACTTTAAGAAAAATACAGAGCAAGAGTCTGATACAACCTATCAGGTTAAATACTTGACTTTTACTAAAGTACTTCCCTGGATACTCACCAGAGGGCACCCTTGTTGTTACAGTTACTCCAATAGATTACGTTAGCAGCAGAGTTTATATTGTTACGTTATTTTCTTCCTTCACGTTCGTACGGTGTTTGTAGATTTGGAGTGAATAACGACGACACTTGATGAAGTATCGAAACACACTTTATTTAGCCAATATTTAATCAGATAGGTCCAAAATCACTTTTACAGTCGTTGAAGTCTTATAAACACGCTGACACGTTCAGCGACACAGCCTTCACGCTGTCAGGCAATAACGGTGGAAACAGCTGCACTGAAAAGCACCCGAGTACAGCTTCCAGCTCTGCTTAGTCGTTCTAGGAACTCCACGTACTTTCGAGACTCTCCACGCGATGCACTCGACGATACACAAGAGTATAGCTCTCGACTCAGCGCAGTCTAAGACAAAACTCGACGATGCACTAATTCGCGATGCACTAAAAGACTCTCTCGATGCACTCGACGACAAACTCGGCGCTAGACTTCCGAGACATTCGCTCAATGACTGACTATCAGCTCGCTAGACGAGGCACACACACTAACTGACTGCGGACCAGCAGGGTTTATATAGCTTTCGGCTTGTGTTCGAGAACATTCTGGGCTAAACCGGTAAGAATTCATTCCAGAAGGTTCTCCATCTGTCCATGGTATATCACCAAATTTGTCGCCAAATTCGCGATTTCTTGCCAAATGTGGCAACCGAGCCTTCCCTTGCCAATTTATGGCAACCCTAAAACTGCTTTGCGGGGAAGACATCTTCATTTCGTAACAATATTAAAGGGTTGGTTACAACCTCGTCCTATGGCTCCACCGACTCCCCGGCAAGGAGACAGAACTGGAAGATTTGGGAGCTCTTGTAATATTGTCTCTAGTCTCAGTTTTTTTGGTTTCCTGGACAAGGGGACATCTCTTTAAAGCACTATCTGGAACCAGAAGTTCTTGATCATTTCGGGAATGCAAAGTAACTTTTGGTTGTCTACCTCTCTTCTTTGAGAGGAAGAATGGGAAAAGGGGAAGAATCTTTGAAAGGTATTTGTGCACTCATGCCTTCTGTTACAGCAGCTAAAATTTGTTAGCACCAAAACAAGATCAATTTGTTTAGAAACCACGATAAAGATGCCTTTCGTATTCGAATCATCAAGTGTTGCAGTGTAAATCGAAATAAATATAAGAAATTCTGCGGTTTTAAAATACGCAAAGTTGAAATTTTGATTAGCTTTTGTTGAATGGTTTTTCGTGTCTTAAAACAGGCTGCAATTTAAAACTTGAGGATACTCATCTCAAGTAATGTTTATGAAGAAGTAAATATGGGCATCGTACAGTAATGAGTATCGCAGTAATATTTAAGGGGGCTCATACACCTTAAACCCCTTATGATCTTCGACTATATGACTGTTGCAAGAATTGGGATAACTTATTTATTTTAAAAGCAATTGTTTCCAACTTTTTACAGCTGACTACATAATATAGCTGCTTTAGAAAGTAGTAACCAGAAAGTGTGTGTTGCGACAAATATTTTTGTAATTTAAATCCGCTGCACAAACTTTTCCTCATGTTCCACCTTGCGCGCATGATATTTAAAATGGGCTATGGTACATACATGAAATTGGATGGAATTCTTTATATGGGCACTATTTTCTAACTAAACCAAAAATTTGATGAATAATTTAGTATTAAAAAAAATTATGCGTGAAACATTACAGATTTTTTTAAAAAATTTTATAACTCAACTCCAAATAAATAAAAATTTAACATGAATCTTAGAATTTGTTCACAAGTAGTTTCCAATGTTATAAAAGCTATAATTAAATATGGATTAAATTATGCAACAGAATGTTTTTAAACTGTGCGCGCAGTGGGAAACTTGACGAAAATTTGTCACAAGCGGATTAAATATAAAAATTTTTGTGTGCACACAAACTTTGTGATTACTATTCAGAAGCAGCATATTAGGCGTCAGCTATAAAAAGTTGGAAGTAATTGCTTTTAAAATAATAAGTTATCCCAATTCTTGCAACTGTCACATATTCGAAGATCTTATGGGTTTTAAGGTGTATGAGTCCCCTTGCACCGTACAGTAATGAGTATCGCAGTAATATTTAATACTTTCAAGGAAATAAATAAAATATTTGGGGAAAAGTGAAAGTAATTATAAAAAAAAAAAAAAACAAAAAAAAAACTTACTATTGTTAGAGAAACTGTGTAAACCACCACGAGGAATAAGTTGTATATGATCATTGGTATTCTCATGACGAAAGGCTTCCTGTTCTTCATAATGGCAGGGCCAATAAAGATGGTGAACAAGGCGTAACTTCCACATAATGCGAAAGGTAAGAGATTTTGTTGGACTAGAAACCATGTTCGAATCTCTTTATCTAAGGGAGAAAAATAAGCATTATTTCTGTGGTAAAAAAAAAATCTTGTTTCTGTGCTTGAACTCTGATAAAGAAGAATATCTGCTATAATTGTGAGAGTAAAATGAGCTTTTATGTCATTTCAGGCTTATTCAGCGTATTCCGTTTTCCTGTAAACTGAATTCATTTAACGAAGATTATTCATTCGTGGACTTTCCCGAGCTAGACACGTCATCATAAGGTTACTGCGGAGTTCTTTGTAAAGATTTATGTTCAACCACACTGTTTTTCGTATCTAATAGCTGAGTATCGTACTCGGTATCTAAAATGAAAATGGGTTGCTCAGTCCGCATTTATGAACAGGTTTGGTTGGTGTCAAGCCAGATGCGATTGGGAAGTTGATTAAATATTTATAGTCGTCAGTGATGAATCCCGGCTCTATGGTATAGATCAGGGGTTCTCAAACGGTGGTACTCAAGAGAAAAATAGATGGTACGCAAAGAAGCAAAGCATTTTTAACTGTTAAATTCAAAATTAAAACCCAAACATCCTTACTGAGTTTTTTCTCTAACACTCGTACGTTTATGTGATCTGAGCTTTGTTCAAGAGTGGTGGCGGTAGTAGTACTTTGTAGTGGTGGTGCTGAAGGTTTTCAATTTCTATTTAGATGGTACACGTTAGTCAAATCGTTGAGAATCGCTGGTATAGATGAAGTTCGAGTACACGTGCGGCGATGCATGAGTGAAACTTTTTGGAACGCAGATTTGGCTCAATGAAACGTAACACAGTTCAACGAAGCGTGCATTTGGCTCAATGAACCATTATGATTTTAGTATGTCCTCCTTTTCATGACATACTATTGCAAAGTTTATAGAGGGCTTTCTAACCGGTCAGTGATGTGATGAAATCATTAAGTCAATTTTAATACTGATTTTAGCACCCAAACTTGCTATCAGTATCTATCTTCGCTTATTTAGAAATCTTAAAGATTAAAGAATTGAAAGAAACTGAAACAGTATTAAGAAAATGGTACAGAGATGCTCCATTATATCATCAAAAGATGGAAAATTAAGCGATTTTATACCATTTTCTTGATTCAAATGGGCTAGTAAGAATAAAGACTAAACTAAGAACGAGAGATGATACTGAAGAATTTAATAACCCAATAATTATTCCTCTAATCCTGATCACCAAGTTGTTAGAAATTTGGTTATCGCGACCGACAAGCAGCTTCTTCACTGTGGAGTGGAAATTTGGATGGCAAATTTTAGGAGAAAGTGTTGGATAATAAAAGGGCTAAAGACAGTTCGAACGGTGAGCCATTCTTGCATTCATTGCAAGCGATTCAATGCTAAATACGGAGACGCCAATTCTGCTCTTTTATGAAAAGACAAAATAAAGCGAGCAACATATTTTGAAGTAATCTAGTTGGTCTTCTATTCTTAAGAGAAGTAAACATAGGATCGCGTGCTGTTTACTGCGCATTTCCCTTGCAAATGATCTCTGTCAACCAACACAGTCTTATTCTCTTGAAGACGTTTCATTGGCCGGCTAGGATAACCACCAGTGATTTATATCAATAACGGTAAAATTTCACTGGAGCTGATCCAACCTTAAAAAATTTTAATTGGGATGAAGTAAGCAAGAGTTAAGTAATGTAAGACGCATAACTTGAAAGTTTGTCCTTCCTTCATCTCCTTGGTGAGATGGTTGGTGTTACTGGCTTATTAGATTAGCAAAACGAATCCTAGGCAAAGCCTCTTTGAGGTTAGAAGAGATGATTATACGAGTGTGAAAGTATTGTGAACACCAGACCAATTACTTACATGTCAGAAGATTACGAACTTCAGCCTCTGGCACCAGCGATGATCTTGCATAATCAAAACCAAAAATTAATGCCAAATCTTGATCATTTAGAATCAATTAATCTGTAGAATAGACACTCGTATAGCTGATATTGCATAAAGATCTTCAAAGAAGTTTCAAATTGGAACACGAAGGGCAACTGAGACCGAATACTAAGAAAATTACAGATTTTCTAGAAATAAAATTAGGAGATAAAAGTGCTAATCAAAATATTACTACTAATAATAATTCTGAAAGATTTAACGGGCCTCTTCAGAAGGCCTACAGAAGTATTTGCTGGTAAAGCTGGCATAAGACGTCTTGTAAAACCTCAGACACAGAAAAGGTCTGTATGTTTTAGAAACAACTTCGAATTCTGGAGAAACTTTGCAGGGAAATCAGTACAGGTAGCTAAACCAACCTTCAAAATAAAAGAGAAACAAAGGAAGACTAATTACAGTAGTAATTTACCTCATATAATCATGATTTGCATCTTTCCGTGAAACCCCGGGGGGGAGGCTTGAAGTCTTCCAAGCGCTAGAATCTTTCACCAGGACATAGGTTTAAATCTTGAGAACTACGAAACTCAAAGTGGGGTGAGGAGTGCATTTAGACTACTTTCATGGCAACGACTTCAGAGAAAGAATTATTTTTTGAAGGGAGGGAGAGTGAGAAGAAGGAAACGATGGAACTTCACCGTTTTTATTTTGGAACATTAAACTGAATTCGATTTTTGGGAGTTTTGAATCCGTGGCGGTCAGATATATGTTGCTCACATGATTATTATTTTAAACTAACAGTGCAAACAATAATATGTCCATATTAAACATGTATAACTCAGAAATCTGATAAGTTATGTCTGATTATTTCTGAGTTATGAATTATTTATTAAAGAAGTTATTTATTTCTACAGGATAGTTGGAATGTAATTCCGCGTTAAGAAATCATCAAAACGGTAAATTTTGAAATTTATTGAATCCTTATATTGATAGATATTACAGAACCCTAAGTTTTAAGATTCTTAATTTTGCAAAAAAGGTTAAGATGTTATTTTTATGCATTTAAAATTGTCAATTTAAAGATTTTTATAGTGCATTATTATTGTAATTTCTAATTTTACGATCTGCCTTCTGCGAATTGCTTTGATGTTATTTTTAATTTGTAATAAGATGAATAAATTTCAAGACACGAGATGCCTACTTCAGTTATTATTTACTACTATTTTACTTATTATTTTCCTCGTTTAGCAGTGACATCAACATCTTGGTTAATATGATTCAGAAAGAAGAAGGAAAAAATATCGAAGAAAAAGTGTACAATGAAGTGTTTGATTAATTTCATGAAATGAGATTTTTTTTTTGAATTTATAGGGTTCTGCTATGCGTAGATGTTCTGTATAACATATATGTTCAGTGTCCTTCAGGCTCTAGTAGACTGACAAGCGAGTTATCACTGTAGTCTGAATTAAGGTGAGAAAGTCTTACAAATATTAAAATAACCTTTTTGTTGAAATTCAAGTAACGTAGTTTGAGACTACACGCGAAATAATCTGTTTAAGATGGGTCAAGAATTAAAGGCGCGCTAAAGTCGGCTAGCAAAATGGCTGAAGCTGGAATAAACATTGGTAGAGCTGGTAGAACTGGTAAACTGACATCAAGTCTCAAAATGTATATACAACTTTAAAATTGGTTAAATAATATTGTAAATATTAAAAAGTGTATGGCAGCACTTAACATCTTATCGAGAATTCTAAACATATACTGATTTTAAATGATTTGTGATTTTGCTGCTGAATGTTGTGCAGGGAAAGCGTTGTTAAATAAATGAAGTTAAAAAGACGAAACGTTATTAATAAAAAAAAGTTGTGTACGTCATCTTACTAAGAAATCTGAACATTGATAAGACTTAGTGAGAAAAGACTGAAAATTTTAATCGTAACACTCCTCACGCTTTCGGGAATTCTAGGCATATGCTGCTGTTAAAATTGTGGTTTTGCTGTGAGAATTTTGTGTGACGTCAGTGGAAAAAAGTGCTTTAAAAAATGGCTGCACTTTGAAACGCATACGTGGTTTCATAAATATCGCACATAATACCATATATAATACCATATTAATTTCAGCTGCCATCTTCGTCGCTAGCGCGGTCCCTATATGTTTTGTACTTTCGTTTAATGCATTTTATTTTAAGTTAATGGTTTCTGTTTTTTTTTTCTATTTATTTCTATTTCCTTTCCTTTATTTATTTTTATTTCCCTTTATATGCATATATATTATGTATATATATATATATATATATATATATATAATGTTGTATGATGGTAAATTCACTTGGTGCAAAATTGAGTTATTCTAGATCAATGGCAATGATTACCTGCTTTTAATTTAATGAAAAGTCAACTAATTTCCGATCAATGGCAATGATTACTTGCTTTTAATTTAATTTCGTTTTACAATTGAAATTTTGTTATTCATGATTTAATTCAAGTCCCCGTTAAACATTTTTAAAAATTTACATTTAAGTTACTTTAAAACAATTTTCGGAATTAAACTTACTAATTATGGATTCACTCTTTTTAGATATTTCTACTAAAATTAATCTTAGGAGATAATATAATCAATATTTCTTTAGTATATATATATATATATGAATTATCTTTTATTTAATGTAATCTAATTTTAACCTTCTATAATTGTGTTAAAAGCCTTCACTTATGTATTATTTTATCTTTTTGTATCAGTAACTCAATTAAATGCTCCTCGTCCCACTCACTGTATTACATATCTGATTGCACCAAGTATATCCATATAACTCAGTCATATCTTTACCTGTATTGTAATATTCTACAGAACCCATTAACACAACGTACGTTGTATCTATCCATCTCTAGCTCCGTATATATTGGATCTGAAACTGTTCTCCCTACCCGTATTGCTTCCTTCTTCCATCCGTGGACCATTGACTGTTCCAGCACGGTGTTTGTATCCCTGAACACATTTTAGCACTCGTCTTGCACAAAACACACTAAAGTATTTTGTGAATTTTTGAAAAGGACTGAAATACAGCATTTTACTTGCAATTCGCCAAGTATGGGTGTGGAGAGCCTGCAATCCAGGACCTTTTGTAGCAAAAACAATTCCTTCAGCAGAGCCACCTGGCAGATATGCTAATTGCCCAAGTGGATCAGCTGCTCTGTCGTCGGTGGAAGGAACTTGGAACTCGTTGCTACGCTGGTGTGCAGCTATTATAAAAGTCCTTAGAGTGTTCTCGAAGGACATGATAAAAGTGAGAGCTCCTTAACTGCATTTCCCAGGGAAGATCATAGAAATAAGGTAGAAAGCGAGAACACTTTATCTTCCAGAAAGCAGATAACATCAGCGAGAACTGGAAGCTGATGGCACATGTGGCTCCATTTGCTGGTCGAAAAGGAGAAGAAAGTTATGTACATTAATAAATTTAAGAAGATAAAAAATGTTACGTAGGTCATCTTGTTAAGAAAGACTAAACAATGGCATGAGGGACTGAGAGTGACAGTTGGAAAAAACTTAACACTATCCGAAGTTCCAAAAATATGCTGCTTTTAAAATTTTTATAATTTTATTGTTGAATTTTATGTGGCATATTGGCGAAGAAAGCGATGTTTAATAATAAAAATGCAGTCTAAAAATAAAATTAAAAACTAAACAAGTTGTGTTAGCGGAAGTCAATCCAAGAGCAGACTGGTAAACTGCGAGCCCATCCAAAGCATGAAAAACATCAACAAATCCTCTGGTGCTACGTTAAAATCTGAATATTTTCTGATGTTGCATTTTAGCTGCATGACATCAAGACCATATCTGCATTCCTTGAAGTGAACAAATTTGACAGTTGGAACAACTAGAATTGCTTTTCTGACCAATGAAGAAATTCATGAGCTATAGGAGAAATCGATTTTTTATTGAGCAAGCGAGATGCGGCTTTTGTTTGGACACTTTCTACGCTCTTTTATATTTCGTAATTCAGCATGAAGGATTAGAAACCGTTTGAATTTTCTCATTTTAAATTTCATTCATAAACAGCTGTTTTCTTTTCTGAATCAAATTCTAAGGATATTCTCAGTTGAAAGACATTCAAACAGGCAAAGAACCACAGAACTGACCTAAATTGAAACCATTTGTGGTATGGTGGCAGCATACTCATCTGTAGTCATTCTGGGCGAAGGCTTATTCTAAACTTAGAAGATATCTAACTAGTAATTAAAACCATTGGAGAATTAGGCTGATTATTCATCAGCTTTGTTATTGAAAGTACTTGTCAGGCCAGCATAAAGCTGATAAAAGGATGTTTCATAAATGACTTCCTCAGTGTAGGCCAGGAATGTTATTACCATCAACTTAGCAAGTCATTATCATAGTGTTATTACCTAAAGCGGGGCAAATTATTGTCAGCATACACTAGTGCGGGCGATTACGGAAGAAAAGCCATTTTCATATTTAATGATGCGTTAAAAATGTAATTCCATTGAATCTTATCTAGTGTTATAAAAGAAATTAAAACACCAGTAAGAAATTAGAACAAAAAATCAAAAAAGTATGACAATTTTTATTGGCATTTTAGTATCGCTTTGTTTACTTTAAATTGATTTTATCAGTTAATTTTTACATTAATTCTTTTAATTTTTTAAATTTATTTAATGAATTTATCTCGATAATCATCCGGATATAATCAGAAATGTTACTATGTTCAAAAGCTTTCGGCTGCTCCTTCGAAAGAATTTTCAACTACTATTTTTTTTTATCTTATGTTATTTTCAACTTTGATTTTTTTATTTTAAATAATATTTTTCCCGTTAGTAAGTTTACCACTTTTAATTGATTTAATAATTATCCTTGATAAAAATGTAACCCATATAAAACTGAATTCTAACTTTATGTCGCGATCACTCTTTAAAATTATTAAATACGGCTGAATTATAAAATATGACATATTTATTTCTATTTTTGGAACAACCATGGATTTATTCTATCAAAATTATTAGCTAGAATAAAAATATAAGGCATAAATTTTTATTCAAATCGCACTTACGATCAAACATGAAAAAGGAAGTTATATCCTCAGGAAACAAGAAATACTTAATATATGAGAAAGATAGCCATTTTCTGTCGCATTTGCTGTTTCTTTGAAAGAATAACTTGCTTACAGAAGAGAATTAGATGATGCACGCAAAACTCAGTCCACATATATGTATCGTACGGGCACAATTTTATATTTCTATAGCAAGAAATAATAAAAGGAAACAAACGTATCAATCATACCTCCAGTATCAAAAGTTTCTTCTAAGAAATTGTCAATTTTTTGTAGAATCATCATCTTGCATATTTAATGAGGGAAGCACTTTCTGTTAAAAAAAATCTGAATGTAAAATTAGAAAAAAATTATTTTTGACATAAGTATGTTATTCTTAGTATGGTTTAAGATAAATTGCATAAACTGAAAAGTGTAAAGCAGATACAGAAGATATTACTCACTGATACGTTTATATATTCCACTTGAAAAGTCAACTAATTTCCGATCAATGACAATGATTACATGCATTTAATTTAATTCTTGCCTTTAATTTATTCCTTTTACAATTGAAATTTTGTTATTCATGATTTAATTCCAGTCCCCGTTAAAACATTTTTAACATTTTACTTTTAAGTTACTTCAAAACATCTTTCAAAATATAACTTACTAATTAAGACACAATAACATGTCGAATAAAGACTAATTCAGAAGTCAAACAACAAAATTGTGCCAGATTATATGCTCTTCCCAAAATTCATAAAAGTGGTGTTCCTTTCCGCCCTTATTGTATCAAATTTAGGTACTGCCTCGTATCCATTAGCTAAATGTTTAGTTTCGAGATTTTCCACTCTATTAGACAATAACATTTACACCATAAAAAACTCAATAGAGTTTGTGAAAAAGGTTAAAAACATTTCTCCTAGTAATTTACCCATGGTTTCTTTTGATGTAAAATCATTATTCACCAATGTCCCAGTGGAGGGTGCATTAAGATGTCTAGAAACCAGACTTCGCGAATTTCATTTCTCATGCATCGAAACTGATGAGCTAATTTCTCTCACTCAACTCTGTTTGAAACAAACACATTTTGTTTTCCAAAATAAATATTACAAGAAAACTGAGGGATTAGCCACGAGAAGCCCCCTCAGTCCCATCCTGGCTGATATCTACATGCATTATTATGAATCAAAATGGTTTGAAACTTTAAACTTCCCTGTATGGTTCCGCTACGTAGACGATACTTTTACCCTGTTTGAAGGTAATAAAGATGATTTAAATAAAGTTCTTTCAACAATGAATTCTATTGATCCTGCTATTCAGTTCACTTTTGAACTTGAAACTTGCAATTTTCTTCCGTTTCTCGACATTCTGATCACACGTAACACATCCAACTTCAGTACTACGGTTTACCGTAAACCTTCATCGGTTTGCCTTCCACCACACTTTAAATCATTTCATCCGACTAAATAAAAGTTAGCTTAATTTTATTCCTATGTTTTCCGTGCTCTTCGAGTTTGCTCCTCCAAACTAGCCCTTGATGAAGAACTGAATTATTTAGAAGCAATAGCTATTGACAGGGGCTTTTCACCCAACATTATTAATCAAGCAGTTAAAAAATTCTCATCTCAACACACTAAAAGGCACACTCTTGTTTTAGGAGATTATAAAAATTCTGTTGTCATTTCCCTTCTTTCCATCAATTAGCTATAAAGTTGCACATATTTTGCAGAAATTTAACTTTCGGGTCGTTTATTCTCCCATCAATAAAATTCCGAGTTCCATACCCAAGGACCCCATTCCGGATATGAATTCCTGGGGTATTTATAGGATTCCTTGCCATGTGGTTTATGAGGCATACGTTAGAAAAAAGAAAACACAGAAGTCTTCTGTTGCGCAACATTGTTGATCCGAAAATCACACTTTCAATTTTTCTGCTGCCAAAATTATTCAAAAAACATCTTCCATTGGAGAACTGGATTTTCTAGAGGCATTTCACATTCATAAAAATCTTTCTGTTCTAGTTAACGATCCTAATTCCAATCCAAATTTGCCTTCGGCCTTTAAAGAAATTATGTTTTAGTTCTGGTTTCACCAACAGATGGCGCCACTTGCTTATTCTTGTCCAGGCTTCTTATCTTATCTAAACATTATTTCCTATCTTGCTCATTTGCGGTTTTGCAGCTGAGGATGGTGGTTCGGTAAAACAATCGAAACTAGTCCTTTGAAAATTTTATAAATATAACGCTAATTTTTGTTGTTTGACTTCTGAATTAGTATAACTTACTAGTATGGATTCACCCTTTTAAGATAATCCTACTATAATAAAACTTAGGAGATAATATAATCAATATTATTTAGTAAATAAATTATATATATATATATATATAGTAGATGTATATGATGTTGGCTTTTTAGGGAAGATGAAAAAAAAATCACGCTTCAGTCATGACCGAGAACCGTAGATGACGATTGGTGCAAAAGTCACAGCTGACTTGATAGTTAAATGATTTTTATTTTGCTAGAAATGGTTATTTAGATGCATATTTTTGCTTAAAACTCGTACAACCTTAGGGTTATTAAACATGCCCAACAATTTCAGTATACGTAGTTTACATTTCAAGGCAATAAAGAAAGAAGAGGAAGAGAGAGACGTGGTTTGCTCAAGCAGTAGCTAGCGAGAAAAGGCAATGCAAAGCAATGCGTACTCATTTGAGTTCTATTTATAACCGGAAAGTCATTGCGTTAACTCTTTCTCATCGAGAGACGACCAAATCTATTTTCAACAAACATCGAAAACGCCCGTGTTTACGAATTTGTCTTGGAATAGTTTTCCTTTCCCCCTGCCTGGTAGATCCATTGTGTGCAGTTTTTCACCTTAGGGAGGGCCGGATTGCACCTGCGAACGTCAATAGGTCAATAGCTTTCCGTATTTCTCCTTTATTTGCTTCAAAAGAATGACTGACATGTCTTTTAACAACTCGCGAAACCAATGAGCCATACACTAACATGGAGGGGAAAGAACTAGGTAGAAAATAAACGAGGCGTTGGGACGGTTTGCAGTTGCCTGAATGAACGGGCGCTACGGGCGACTTCGATGCGAAAGAGTTAATCCTGAGCAGCGATTGGGCTAAAGATGTCGCTATGCATAGAAATTGCAGGGAAAGAATAACGAAACATGCAGCAGAATGATTCAAAATGGTGCAAAGCGCGTCTCTAAAGTGGGGTTGTGTTTAATTAAAATTTAAGTATTTGAAAGTCTGTTGCCAATTAATTCCAATTAAGTTCAATAATTTTGTCTCATCTAAAATGCGTCATCTAAAAATAAATCCGCATTGCGCCATTACATAGGAGTAGCAGTGCGGATATTTTTTAACAGATCTCAACTGAAAATTTAAGCAAAGGAGCCAACTCTACAAATGCCTCTCGCCTAAAATGGGCAACTCCTGCCTTCCTCTCTCTATGCTACTATGAGTCTCATAATTTTTATGTGCACCATATTAATGTTTATTTTCTTCATGTGTCTGCATCATTTAATCGTCTGCATCGTTTATATGTGTACTATTTGTCATCGAGTATACGTTCTGCATATATGTGTGTACTGCATCGTACAGTGTGAACTATTAGCACCATTACGTCAAGTAATCTTGTCACTATGCTGTAACACGTATCTTTGTATGCTCACATGTGTGTACTATTACCTGTTATGTGAATTAATAACTTTTATTGCATCATGTACTATTACCATTTTTATTGCATCCTGGTATATCATTGTATCATGTACCTTAGTCCTTAATTTAATTTGCATCTTGTATATCTATATCTACGGCGTTTTTTTTCTTGTGCGTACTATATTATCATGGCTTCATGAACTACTGTCATCACATTGCTTCACGTATATATATCTGCGTCCCCTATTGAGTGTCCTCTCAGTATATCACAACGCGCTGTTTAAATAATTACGTGCTATTATGCGTCTCATAACATCATCAAGTGTTTCGTTTTTTTTTTTATGTGTCCACGTATTTAATTTTAATTGTTTGCAATCGTGTTTATCTATGTGTGTTTCGGTGTTTATTTAGTTTAGTTATGTAATTTTTAGTGTATCTTAGTGTACCTTTTTTTTGTGTGTTTAGTGCTTTATGTGTTTCTTTATGTTTTTATGTTTTTCTTTATATGTTTCCATTTATGTTTTATGTTTTTATGTCTTATTTTTGTTCTACCTCTGTAACCATAACCTTCAGTTGTCTTCACGTTTCTACAAATGGACTACATGTAGTCTAGCCCTTGTAAGGCCATGTTAACTTTTAAGATCCTAATAAACTCCCGGGGCGGCCTCATGGGGCTCCAGGGAGTTGTTGCCTCTACACATTGGAGGACGCGGGGTATATGCCTGTTTACCTATGTTAGACACCAGGCGCCCCCGTCCTCCGTCACCTGTCACCTGCCTTCCTCTCTCTGTGCTAACATGTGCTTCTTCTTATTTCTCCTCTTCTTCCCTTTTCTAATGATGTGACTATGACTAGTTACATATAATTGTGGGGGCGCATATGGCACCCATTAATGATGATGCGTAGAAGAATATGCGCTCTAAAAATTAGTAACCAAGGAACAAAATTGTGTATTGAAATCTACAGTCACATCTGCTAAGTTTTTTCTCCTCCATTATGCCATCATGTACGTCTGTGTAGCTATTTTGTAATCTCAAGATATTTACAGAATTTGTTACATATATAATGGTTTAAACGTATCAGTGAGGGTTTCTATATGTATAATTTATTTTAGTTAAGTAAATTATACATATAGCAATACACAATACATATACAATATATTATACATATAATTATATTGTATAATAATCTTAGGAACATTTGCGCTAGATTTAAGTTTTGACAATACTACTTGCATACTTCTTTTGCTATTATAGGTAAACATTCTTTTTTAAATTGTGTCATTTTCTTATTCCTTTCGTTTTTCAATATACATACAGGACATTTGCTATATAATAAATTTTTCATTTTTCATTTCTAATGGCAACTTAAAATACCAGTCTAAAAAATGTTTTTTTTAAACAATTCATCGAAAGCTGATTTATCTATAAGCCAGATATATGCGTGAGGTTTAAAAAATGTAATGGCTAACATAATAAACTTTGTGGAGTTTTATATATTGTATTCTGAGTTCGAAGAGAGATTGATAAATAACAACACACTTGCAAATATAAATTGTAATTAATTTGCTACCAGCCACAATTTGTGTCAATTTCTTATTCCTTTCGTTTTTCAATATACATACATGACATTTGCTATATAATAAATTTTTCATTTTCATTTCTAATGGCACTTAAA